CACACACACACACACACACACACACACACACACACACACACACACACGAGAGCGCATGCTCAGAGACCATTGAGGAAGGGACAGAAAGACTCTAAGAAGTTGGAAAGGCCAGAGCAAAAGTGTCTTCTGCACACAACAAAAGCACTGCATCAAGTTTTGGTTGTTTTTAACAACATGTGTATAAGATCAAGCCTATTAACATTCTAGCATGGCCAGAGGAGGGGTTCATGAGCGACACCCCTAACTAAGGAGCTATAACAGCTGATAGACTCTGCAGGTCGGTTTCCTTCAAGGGTGTGGGGTCCCATGGGAGTTGAGATTGATCATACTCCAGTGGATGGTCTAACACCCTGGAGTATGGAGAAATGGTTCAGTGTTAAGGATACTTGTTAATCTTCTAGAGGATCAAGGTTCGATTGCTAGCACCCACATGGTGGCTTACAGTCATCTGTAACTCTCCAGGGGATCTGATGCCCTCTTCTGGCCTCTTCAGGCACTAGGCACAATGTGGTACACAAATATACACACAGGAAAACACCCATACACATTTCTTTTCTTTTCTTTTTTTTGAGACAGGGTTTCTGTGTATTCTATTTTGGCTGTTCTAGAACTTGCTATATAAACCAGCTATCCTCAAACTCACAGATCCATTAGCCTCTGCCTCCTGAGTGCTGGCATTAAAGGCATGCACTAACATGCCTGGCTTCACATAAAATTAAAAAACAAAACAAAAAAAACCTTTAATCTCTACCACTGAATCATACTTCCAGTCCCCCCCTTCCAATTTTAAGGTTAGGTAAAAGTAATTTGTAAACAAAAACTTAAGAAGACCAGCTATCACAGATCTTAAGGAAGCAAGCTGGATGATTTTAAATAAAATCAAGATCTTTGGGCCAGGCATGGTAGTGCATACCTGTAATCCCAGCACTCAGGGAGGCATAGGTAGATGGATCTCTGAGTTTGAGGCCAGTCTGGTCTACAAAGTGAGTCTAGTACAGCCAAGGCTACACACAGAAACTTTCTCTCAAAAATAATACAAAACAAAATAAAACCAACCCCCCCCCCCAAAAAAAACAAATAAAATAAATGTCCTGTAGTGTTTTATCAAACCTTATTATTACCAATATATATGAGAGAAACTCAGAGAACAAGAACCTGGTGGAATCAAGAGTATGCCAACTTCCACTGCTATCTAAAACTCCTTTGGCATTAAAAAAATGTACAACAAACAAAAAAGATTTCACAGAAAATAAAGTAAATAAAACTAAACGATCCTTAAAGTTTCCTCTACCACTATGATTTAGCTCTAGGATCCTCAAAATTAACTAGATAGATAGGAAAATACCAGGTTCACAGACAAAGGCTCTTTTTTGACTCACCTGCAATCATCAGGCTTATTAACTGTATCTTCAGAAGAATCAGAATCTTAAAAAAATAAAAAACAAAAACAAGAAAACCAAAATCAGTCAAAGTTTTTAATTAAAAGGGTCAAAATAAAAATGCTTCTTGTAAAACATACAGTGGTTCATCCAGAAATTTTATAATATATATAACTAATATATTATATAAATAATACCCACTATATGGCAGGTACAGACATATTCAGCAATACAGAGAAGTAGCTGAAAGCACAGGCTCCAAAGCCAACTTCCTCCGTCCAAAATCTTAATGTCTCTGTGACTAAAACTTCTCATCTGTAAAATTAGTAACTCCTTAGGACTGACCTCTTAGGTGAGGTATAAAAAACTAAAACAGCAACTAATTTTCAGTTAAATGCTCCTAAATACTAACTGACATTATTTGCACTACTTTTATTAATACGTATTTATTTAGATGTATGCATATGTGCAGATGTCAGAGGACAACTCGTTGGAGTTGATTTTCTCTTCTACCTTGTAGATTCTAGGGATTAATTCAAGTTATCAGGCTTGGTGGCAAGCACCTTTACCACCCAAGACATCTCACTATCACCTGGAATATTTTTACAAAACATCTGTTGTTGATAGATTTATTGTGACTCAAAGACACACAAGTTAATTTCAAAGAAATACAATAAACGTTGTGGAGACACATGGTGGTGCTGGGAACTAAAATCAGAACCACTCTTCCCAATTTATTATTATTATTGTGATAGAGTCCTCGATGTAATCGAGGTTGACCTCAAATTCACGATCTTCCTGCTTCAGCCTCTCAAATGCTGGGATGAAAAACCCAGACACACACTGAGAAAAGATAGTTAGAGACTAAGCTCTGAGTTTCTGTCTTTCTCTTTCCTTTTGGCCAGCTGGAATGCAAAGCCTGGAGACTTTATCTTGGATCCCTCTAAATGCTATGACAACCAATCATGTTCTTTTTTTATTATGACTTCAGATTGTTCAAACTCACTTACACTTATAACAAGACATCCTTTCTTTTGTTCCTTTTATAAAGTAAGATTCTTAAGGTGTGAAGTGTACCTTAAAAAATTTATAAATCAAGATAGCATTTTTACTTTTACATATAAATTTTACTTTTACATATAAATCACAAGCAAGATTTCTGATAAAGCTATAAGCCAAACAATCCAGCAAGTATAATTTCGAATTTAATAAAATCTGAGACCTTTACCTAGTTCAATGTAGACAGATTTTTTTCGAGGCTGTGTCTGCTTGTTTTTCTTCACTGATCTCACAATTCCAAGGTTAGACAGCTGGACACTAAGACTGTCCTTCTGTTAAACAGTAAAGAATGCCTAAAATTTAATTTTTTTTAAAAATTTTCTTTTCCTTTTTCTGACTTATTTTTCCAAAAGTAATTACAATCATGATAAGGTTGGCAACATAAAATGTATTTTCAGCAAAATAAATGATTAGAGAAAGAGTCTGAAGAAGAGGCTACTAAGGACAGTAGCAGGGGTGGCAGTCAAGAGAAAGAATTATGAAAACAAATAGTTTGAAAATGTTGTGGTGTTCTCTAGCACAATATATACTGATTTAAAAACATAAAACAGGTATTAAGCTAGAGCACAGACTGCCTTGCAGGGACCAAAGTTTGGTTTCTAGTGACCATGCTGAATAGCTCACAACTACCTGTAACTGCAGGAGCAGGGGATCTGATCCTCTTTTCTAGAATCCAGAGGGCCTGCATTCATATGTACAACCCGCCCCACCCTCATAATTGAAGATTAAAAAAAAAAAATTAAAAGAATCTAAATAAATATTTTAAATAAAGGATTGGTGACAGCCATAAAAATCCCAGCAGTCTAAGAATACTTAGTAAGGTGTATTTTTGTGATCTCCATTATCCATCCACATACGAACAGAGCAGCTCATTACATTTTCTTTGATTCTTACACTGGTTAAGTTGAAGTCATTTTCAAACTCTTACAAAAGATCAGTGATATTTTGTCCATTTCAGACAAGCATCAGAGCTGATGAATTGTAAAGTAGGGAAAGGGCCCAAAAAGTGCCTCGGTCACAACAGGTACCCTGACCTCTGAGTTGAACTTAGTTATTAAATCCATACGTTCACTAACTCACAATGCTAATGGTTCAATAAAGAGATGCTGGGAAGAATAAAAAACAGCTTTACCAAGGCAGCATCTTCAGATTCTATCTGCCCAAGTCTTTTGACACGGTTTCGGTAGCCCACACTCTGGATGATAGAAGCCTCTTCAATCACATGTTCAGAAAAATTATTCTTCTTTTTGGAAAAACTAAAACTGTTTGCAACTGTAAAACACAAAGGGACATGTTTTAGTTAGAAGAAAATATATTCATCTTCATTAAATATCCAAGAACAATACTGTGTTTGCTCTCTGCTGTATAGGATAATGGGGGAAAAAAAGAAAAGAAAGAAAGAGAGAGAAAGAAGGAAGGCAGGAAGGCAGGAAGGCAGGAAGGCAGGAAGGCAGGAAGCCTGGAAGTGGTATGGTGGCACAAGCAGAAGAGGCAGAGGCAGGAGGATATGAGTTTGATTCCAACCTGGTCTACAGACCAAGTTCCAGGATAGCCAGAGCCACACAAATACCCTTTCCTGAAAAACAAGCAAATATAATGCATTATAGCTTTTTTTTTTTTTTTTTTTTTTTTAAAGCAGGTTCTGTGTAGCCCTCACTAGCCTAAAGCTTGATAGCTTTGAGCTCACGGAGATCCACCTGCCTCCTGAGTGCTGGGATTTAAGGCGTATACCACCATACCTGAGTACATTTAATTTTTAATTTATTTTTAAATTTATGTGTATGTGTGTATGCATGCATGAGTTCATGTGCAGCGTGTGTGTGCACGGGCCTACGGAAGTCAGAAGGCATTGGATCCCCTAGAGTTTAAGCTACCTGCTGTGGTTGGTAAGAGCTGAAACCTGGGTCCTCTGAAAGAGCAGCTACACATTCTTCACTGTTGAGCCATCTCTCCAGCCCAAGACCTCTAACTTTTAAAAGTCCAGTTTAAAAATTCAGAGACGATCTAAGTTTTTTTTTTATCCCCCATCCAAAAAACTAATAAATTTGCCCATTAACAAATGTACCATATTTCTCTGATTTAAGGAGCAAAAATGTTAAGATGCACAGCTTTGGAGGATGGAGAGATGGCTCTGTGGTTAAGTGCATCGTCTGTTCTTCCAAAGAATCTGATTTAATTCCCAGCACCCACATGGCAGCTCACAACTGTCTCCAATTCCATGGATTCTGACACCTTCATACCAACACAAAAAGAATAAAATGAAATAAATTATTAAAAAAAAAAAAAGATGCACCACTATTGTTTTTATCACTAAGAAAGGTAACGGCATTAAGTAACTGCATACAATTGATGTATGCAGTTCCCAGTTTCAGAGATAGTAAATATACATTTTAGGCCAGGTGATGGTGGTACACACTGGTAACCCCAGCACTCAGGAGGCAGATCTTTGAGTTCAAGGCCAGCCTGGTCTACAGAGTGAGTTCCAGGACAGCCAGGGCTATAGACAGAAACTGGAAAAACAAAAGATACACATTTGAGGACGGAAGAATAAAATGCGAGACTGTTAATAGTTTTAAAATACAGGCTGGCAAGATGACTCAGCACGCACAGGTGCCTCCCATGAGGGCTTAGTTTGACCTAACCAAAGTGTGAGGGCTAAAGTTAAAAGCTAACCTGTAAGTCCCACTTGCCCAAGGACAAATAACTTCCTGGAATGGCGAGGGCTGTTGTTCACGTAAGACTGGCTGCCCCAACCACATAGGACATGCTCCATCACAGGCGCCTACACAGGGACACACACAGCCAGGAAGATACATGCTTCCCCCACGCCCCCAACTGGGAGCAGGCGGGAAGTGCAGAGCCTTGTGGGTTCTGCTTTTATGAGCACCTGACTAACGGATTTCAGCACCATTCTCTGGGAACCCGGGGTGTGGACCTAGCCAGTGTCCTTTGTCCTGGCCGGTACTGACTAAAGCTTGTTTAATTAGACAATCATGGATTTGGTCTTTCTCTTTGAAAATTTCAGGGCTAACACCATGTAAAGGTAGGAGAAAATCAGCCCTTAAGTTGTCCTCTGGTCTCCAAATGAGTGCCCTAGCACATGAATGTTTGCACTCATACAGCACACACAAACACACACTACTTGCAGTAATAAAAAAATTTTAAATATGGAGGGAGGGGCCTATGACCAACATGTAAATTGAATTAATTTTAAAAATGAGAAAAAAATATTACTAAACAGATTTAAAAATAGGACCAGTGAGTTAAGGCCATTAGTACCAACCCTGTGGATAGCAGCAACTCTCACAAGCTGTCCTGACTTCCACATACATGCTGTGGCATGACTGAGCCATATCCCCCTCCCACACACACACAAATGTAACTTAAATTAATTTTAGGGCTCAGGGATTATATGAGCACTGGCTGGCTGCTCTTCCAGAGGACCCAAGTTTGATCCTCAAAATCCATATGGTAGCTCACAACCATCACAACTACAGGCAGCAAGCACATACAAGGTACATTCACTGTCTTAGGGTTTCTGTTGCAGTGATGAAACACCATAACCAAAGCAACTTGGAGCAGAAAGGGTTTATTTGGCTTATACTTCCGTATGAGAAGACACCATCAAAAGCAGTGAGGGCTCGAACTCGAGCAGGGCTGGAAGTAAGAGGCAGAGCTGATGTAAGGCCAAGAGAATGCTGTCGACGACCTTGCTCACCATGGCTTGCTCTGCCTGTTTTCTAGAACCCAAAATCTCCAGAGCAGGGGTGGCTCACTCACAATGGGCTAGGCCCTCCCCTACCAGTCACTAATTAAGAAAATGCCCTACAGGCTTATCTATAGCCCAATCTTACAGAGGCATTTTCTCAATTAAGGATCTCTCCTCTCAAGATGACTCTTGCTTGTGTCAAGTTGACATAAAACTAGCCAGCACATACATGTGGGCAAAACTCCCATATACATGAGATAATTCCTTAATTTTTAAATATAAGAAGACAGATTAAAAAGGCTGCAGAGAGCTCAGTAGTGTTTGCTGTTTGGGCATGAGGACTTTACCTTGATTCTGAGAGCTGGGCACAGGCAAGGCAGACACAAGGGATCACTGGGGATCCTTGGCTAGTCAGGCTAGCCTAACAGTCAAGCACCACAACCAGTGAGAAATCTTGTCTCAAAAAACAATGTGGACCGCTCCCAAGAAACAATACTTGAAGACGACCTCTGGGCTCCACAAAAGTACAGACACATCTGCCCCAGCCCTGCCTCCTGATAGATAGATAGATAGATTAGATAGATAGATAGATAGATAGATAGATAGATAGATAGATAGATAGATACAATAAAACATAATTTTAGGTGCAGATCCAACTTTAACCAAACAGTTTTATCATCTATTCACATAAAAAAAATTCAAAAGCTTCTCAAGTTGTCCATCCAGCCCCCAGAGGATTGCCTCTGAGGCTGTGCTGGAAAATACTTACACTGTATTCCTGTGTCAAGCTCAAAAGCATCAGTGACTTTCAACAGTTCTTCAACAAGTTGACTAAACCTTGTACTTTCTTGCAGGCTCCTGAAATTAGTTTTTTTGAGAAGTACGTAAGTGATTATTAATTTTAAGCACATTAAAATAAAGACACATAAACACATAGACTGTAACTTTCCTACTGTAGACATAGCAGAAAGCACAAAGAACTAGTAGTTTGATCCTCAGCACAGTAAAAACAAACACAGACCTACCGTGATATCACATTATATCATGGAATCGCTGACATGGAATAACTGTGGGTATACTTGTTTTGCCTTGATTTTTGTATATGTTCTTTCTTTTTTGCTCTATTGATTTTTAAAATATTTTCGTGACTCATAGAAGTCCTAGATTCCTAAATTTAAAAGCATAAAATTCCCTAGCTTAACAGTACCAAGTGAGGTGAAGTATGGTTGTAATCCCAGTACTTGGTGGGGAGGGGCAGAGACAGAAGCATAAACTCAAGGTCAATCTGAACTACATGACACTGCTTCAAACAAAATAAAAAACCGGGCAGAGTCATACACTCCCATAATCTCCCCTGAGACAGGAGGATCTGTAGTTTGAGGTTAGACATAGTAATTTTTTTTTTAAAGATTTATTTATTTATCATGTATACAATGTCTGTGTACATGTACAGAAGAGGGCACCAGATCTCATTATAGATGGTTATGAGCCACCATGTGGTTGCTGGGAATTGAACTCAGGACCTTTGGAAGAGCAGACAGTGCTCTTAACCTCTGAGCCATCTCTCCAGCCCCCTAGACATAGTAATTTTAAGACCAAAGAAAGACCTTGTTTTAACCTGCTCCTGCCACAAAATTCTACCCTGAATACATACTAGATATAAAAACAAAACAAAACAAAAAAACAATAAAAAAAACAAAACCAACCAAACAAAAAAACTTAAAAATTTTTTTTCCTGGAGAAAGGGTGTAGCCTTGGCTATCCTGTGCTACTAACTTTATAGACCAGGCTGGCCTCAAACTCACAGAGACCCCCTGGTCTCAGCCTCCCCAAGTGCTGGGTTTACAGATGCGTACCTCCCACCCCTCAATGCTGACATCCCAACCCAATCCAACCCGCACTGCTATCTCTGCTTCTAAGAGATTTTCATCAAACAGTAATTTCGTCATCTTGAAAACAAGACACCAAAACCCAAAGAGAGATTTAGGCTTAGATAGAATAATTGCTTTCTCCTTTAAACGTCTGACTGCCTACTATGTACTAAACACTGGAGAAACAGGATTAAGATAGTCCTGCACCAACAGAACTATCTGGTACGAGAAATGTATGATATACCTAAGTGCTGCTCCACTTGAGATCGACTGTTGAGTTCTTCCATTTTTCAGAACATTAGGAAAAGATAATGTTATTTACGTCCTTAGCAGCTAAGCGCACCTGATCTCCTTTGGTGTTGGAAATTAAGCAGGATGGGGGTGATTAGCATGTGGGTGGAAGAACAACACAGCAAATTGCTAATATTTGCCTAAGCAGATGTCCTATAAAACTTCCAAGGAAATAACTTTAGAAATAATCTGTTAAACCCACCTTTTGTGAGACAAGGTCTCAGAGGGCCCAGGCTGGCCTCCCACACACCATATAGTCAAGGACAATCTGCAAGTGGTGATTCTCTGACCTCCACCTCCTGAGTGCTAGTGTTATGGGTATGTGAAGCCAAACCTGTTACTTTATTTTTAATTTGTGCATTCACTTTACATCCTGATTTGTTGTTATTTTATTATTTTATGTGTAAGACTGTCTTGCATGCCTGGTGCCCACAGGTCAGAAGATCCCCTGGAACCTGAGTTATAGACAGTCATAAGCTACAAATACCCTTAACCTCTGAGCCAACTCTGAAAAGAAAAATCAATTAATTGCTTAACTAATTAAAGAGTGTGTGTGCTACAGCTCATGTTTGGAGACCAGGGGACAAGTTGCAAAGAGCTCCCGCCTTCCACCATATGGGTCTTGGGAAGCAAACTCAGGTCTTCAGGCTTGACAGCAACTTTACCTACTCAGCCATCTCAGGCGAGATGCTTGCTTTATGTGGTGTTGTCAAGTAAGCTCGGAGGCCTTGTCTCTACTAGGCAAGCACTATACCAACCGAGTTACACCTCCAGCTCCCAAACACATTTTTGTATGTTTTTCCATTGATGAATGGTTTTATAGGAACACTACCTGCATGTAGAGAGAATTTTGGTTTTACTAAAAAACACAGAAATAGTGAGCATGGCAACTCAAGCTTTTAATCCCCGCACTTGGGATGCAAAGACAGGCAGATCTTTGTGAGTTCAAGGCCAGGTTGGTCTACATACTAAGTCCAAACAGTCAGGGCTACACAGAGAAACCTTATTTTAAACACCCCCCCACCAAAAAAAAAGCACCACAGAAATATTATAAAAATGTTTTCATTTTAATCCCAGGTGTGGGATGTGTGTCTGCTCCACAACAGCTGACTATGACTTGCCTTGTGCTCTGGCAGGGTCATGATTTTGCCAGCTGCAAATAGTTTCTGTGATTGTGTGACATTTGGAAGTCTGGGGACTTTTCAGAAGGATATATAAATGCCAGGGCACCAAGAAGTAGGAGTTGTTGGTTGTTTGCCGTTTGTTAAGTAAGTCACGCGCATGCACACACCCGTGAGTGCACAGACAAGCAAAACCAAAAAACCAAAACCAAACAAAACAGGAAATTAGATATCCTGCCAAAGAAGATTAAATTTGCCCCAAGGACCCCAATCAGCAGGAAGTCAGTCACCCCTTTTCTGACCCGATTTTATTCAGGGATCTCTATCCTTTTTCTTTCTCATATCTAGTGTTAGGGGGTTGAAAGGGTGGAAGAAAACGGAAGGAGAAAGGTGGAAAAAGAACCCACAAAGTAGTAAAACTATGTATTAATTTCTGTGTTTTCCTGTCATTGTTGCTTCCAACTTCCCATGATTACACAAAGTATTTACCTTTTGGTTATCTGATTCATACACAAAGGACATTTTGAAGGACCTTTCTTCTGGTTAAGAAGTTTCAGCATACAAAATCTATAAATTAGAAGGAAAGAAATAAAAAACAATTTGTTACTTTCTTTTATAGAAAGAACACTCAAAAGTCAACGGCCATGAGGATACTTCACAACTGCCCTTCAGAGTCATTTAAGAGTCATGACAGGTAAATTACAACCAATGATTTTTCAGTAATTATTTTTAGATGCTGCCTAAGCAAAAAAATCAAACCACATAAGAAATGACTGATGAAAACTGACTTACCTGCACATGACTTACTGTTATTATTAAATAAAACATTAAAAAATTAACACAGAATATTTAACGATATATTCATAATTATTTCATGCTGTACAATCAGATATAGATGCTTAAGTAGTGAATATAAAATGGCTTTATCAGTTTAGAAGCTCAGCATCTAGGGCCAGGGATATACAGCTCAGTGCTAAAGGTGCTTGCCCAGTATACACAAATCCCAGCTTTGCACTCCAGAACCAAGTAAACAAAAAGTCTGCACTTTACTACAAAGCTACAGTAATTAAGTCAATATGGATCTGAAACTCCTTGTGGTGGTGCATAACTTTAATCCCAGCACCTGGAATGGAGAGGCGACTCCATGAGTTCAAAACCAGCCTGGTCTACACAGTGAGTTCCAGGATAGCCAGGACTCTTTGTTTGTTTGAAGACAGGGTCTGGTCGGTCAGTATAACAGAGTCCTGGCTGTCCTGCACATGCTTTGTAGACCAGGGTGGCCTCAAACTCACAAAGATCCACCTGCCTCTGCCTTCCAAGTGCTGGGACTAAAGGAATGCACCACCACTACCTGGCTGGGGTCTTTTTATTAGTTTGTTTGTTTTGAGAGAGAGCCTGGTTTGGCTGTAATTTTTTTTTTCCTAAATTAAATCATTTGAAGTAGGAAGATCTACCTTTAATTTGGTCTACACCTTCTACTGGCAGCCTACTTAAAAAAACAGAAGGGAGGTTGCTCTCTTTTTTGCTTGTGTGCTTGCTCTTGTCTGCTTGCTCTTGCTAGCAAGTCCATTCCTTCACTGACATTAATTGTAGCCTAGTTCCAGATTCCTGTGTATACTCAAGCCCAGCTGAGACCTCCAGCCTCACGGACTGAAAAACTACTGGATTCTTGGACTTTCCATTGATAAACAGCCATGGTTGGACTGGCTGGACCACAACCTGTATACCAGTCTAATAAATTCCTTTATGTGTGTGTGTGCACATATATGTAAGTTTACACACATATAAAGAGAGCTCCTCCTGTCATCCCCAATGCACTCTCTCTACTTCCTATTTATGGGTCAGGATGTGAGCTCTTCTGTTCCAGCACCATATCTGCCTGTGTATTGCCATGCTCCTGCCATGACAAGGTGATGGATTCCTATCTGTTGGGAGCTTTAAGCCACAATTAAATGGTTCCTTTTCTAGTCTGTCTTGGTTATGGTGTTTTATCGTAACAATATTAACTAAGGCAAGTGTAAGCCATCATGTCTGACTTAAATATTTTCACTTCAAAGGCTAGACATTGTAGCCCACAACTGTACTCTCAGTATTTAGGAAGCAGAAGCAGGAGGATCAGAGTAAGCTCAAAGCACATAGTAACTTCAAGTTACCCAGGTATGCAAAGTCTCAAAGACAAAAGAAAATAAAACAACAAAAAAGGAAAAAAAAAAACAAAACATCCCTAGAGAAGACAGCTTCCTTTAGAAAGAGACCCTGACATAAATAGGAAGACAAAAACATCAAGAAGGCTAGGTGAGCACACGCCTGTAATCCCAGCATTTGGGGTGGCAAAGGCAGGTGTAAGTAAGTTCAAGGCCTGCTGGTCTTTAAAAAAGAAAAAGCAAGGTGACGACAACAACAACAACAAAATGCAGCACCACACAGCCAGAAGCCAAGGAACATGGAGTATTTCAGAAATCTGGAAACTGACTCCAGATGGAAGCAACTCTGCCAACAGTTGACGGTTAAGCCCTTTAAGGCTCATTTTGAATTTCTGACTGATAGAACTGCAGTAAAATCTGAAACTGTTTAAACAACACGAAAGGGCAAGAGTCTTAATGTTCTTCCCTCAGAATGGGGGAGATAGGGCCCATGGATACCAAAATCTTTGGATGCTCAAGTTCCTTACATAAAATGATTTATCGGGTTTTTTGTTTTTTTTAACAGGGTAAACCTGTCTGTGTAACCCTGGCTATCCTGTACTCGCTTTGTAAACCAGGCTGGCCTCTAACTCACTGAGATCCACCTACCTGCCTTTGCCTCCCAAGTGCTAGGATTAAAGTCATGTGTGAGCATGTACAGCTGAAGATATATAGTTTACTTAAAACACCTAATATAATGAAATATAAATTATCTGGGACTGGAAAGATGGCTCAGTGGTTAAGAGCACTTGTTGCTCTTCCAGAGGACCTGTGTTTGGTTCCCAGCACCCACATCTGGCAGCTCACAACTGTCTGTAGCTTTAGCTCCAGGAGATCCAACACCCCCTTCTGGCCATACATATATTCACATAAACATGGATACACACATATAAATAAATGTTAGAAATTATTTTATATTGTTTGGGGGGCAGTGAAAAGAAGAAGAGATCTGCATGCGTTCCATGTAGACACAATGTTTCCTGACTATTTTCAAGCATGGCTGATACACTCAGTCAATAACATAACCTCTAGAAACAAAGGGCCACACTACGTCTGACTTGAATCACCGATGCAAATGAAGTGTAACCTAAATATATTTTCTGACCCCTGTCTTCACCAGCATCAAAAGCAGGCCAGCACTGCACCGTCTGCACCTCCTAAGTCGGAAGAGCAGAACTTGTAGGAATGAACAGAAATCAGAAGCCAGGAAGGCTAAAACGTAGTTTGCTTATTTCACAATTGTTTTCAGTCTGCATTCACCCTTGGACACCAAGACCAAACAGAGTAGCTGTTCAAAGTGGCTGTTCGTGATTTTTTTCATACACAGAGAAGCAATGCCAAAATTTTACCAAGAACTATGGCTACAGCCAATATATATGGAAAACTCAGAAGTACTCCTTGAGGAAGAATGACTAGTTTTGTTGTCATTTAACTGGAGAAAAGATGCTGTGGAATGAGGAACACACACAGAAGCTAACACTGGATCTACAAAGTTGTTCACTTACTTGCAAAATATGTGGTCGCACTTTGTGGAAATGGGTTCCTTGATCAATTCCAAACTAGAAGAGTACGGGGACAAAAAAAAAAAAAAAGAAAGAAAGAAAATAAGTGAAGCTAAATAAGTTCTTTATATTTTTAGTAAAGAGGTTAAGCTTAGGTTGCAGTAACTGAGCACAGATTTAGGACTATGGGTTGTATGACCCCTTGGTGAGTAGAACAACCCTTTCACAGGAATCACCTTAGACAATCGGAAAACACGGGTTAACACACATCTTTACATCGAGGTTCAGAGCATACTTACAGTAATGAAGTAGCAACAAAAAACTTTATGGTTGGGGTCACCACAACATGAGGAACTGTATTAAAGGGTCAAAGCATTAGGAAGGTTGAGAACCACTATTTCAGGGTAAGTCGATATTAAAGGTCTGCCATGCTAGGAGCACAGAACAGATGAGAAAGTATGAACCTGCATGTTTCTGGCATAGGATTGGGACTGCCTTTTTAAAACTGAGTTCAAACATTTGCACAAGTAAAACAGGAAAAAGTACTCTTATGTACTATCATCCAGAAGGAAGAAATGTGTTAAAAAGAAAAACTAAACAGGACAAAAGAACAGAGTGCAGTGCACACTGGTGGGTATATAGAGAGTGGAGATAAAATGCACAAATGAGGAAGTGACAGTGGGGGACAGATGAGTCATAGAAGGAAACAGACTATAATTGGAGACAGCAGAAAAGCTGAGCTGAGCAGGACCGTGTAAGGCCACTGCGCTGAGATGGAGTGATGGAGGCTGGCAGTAGGGGACAGAGGTACCTGGGAGCCTAGATGGGCAGAAAAGGTCTGTCTTTAGCTTTACTTTGTGTGAGATATACACACTGAGTTCTAATGTAAGTGCCATGTAAGACATTAGAGAAGAGGGAACTTGCTAGGTGTGAGAGGAAGACAGTCCTTGGGTTAAATGTAGAAAAGGACCCCAGGAAAGGCGGGGGTGGAAGTGCCTGCCGAAAAGGCTTAGCAATATAACTCTTGTGGTCATGGGGCTCCTCACTGCAGAAAGCAATGAACACAAGCTGACCAGGCTGTGTTCCTTCTATCAGCTCTGTCTGTATGAACAGCATAACCTCAGGCCAAGCTTTCTACCTGAGTAACCAGTTTGGCAGTCTTCTGGGGCTACTGCAAAAATAATGCGGACAAAGGAGACTGATTTGTTACTAGATCACTACTTCGGAGACAGGCTAGACACCAAAGAAAGTTCTTAGCAAAAGAGAAATTGGATTGAGTCATGATACCAGATGGCTTTCATTCTCACCACTGACTCAGTTCTGAAATAATTATATTTCAGTATGGTAATTATGATCCAAGCTATATAAACACACTGTAAACACCAACTCTGAACAGATGAAAACTCCCATATGTAAAAAGGTAGTGACTGTTGTAGGAAGAGCTTGGAGATGAATAGGAATGAAAATGGAAAAAAAATTAAAATGTTTCTCTTCTAGCTTTTGATAAGAGTAAATGTTTACTATATAATTCAAATGTTTTAAACACTTTTCATGCCACACAGTATTTTCAGCCTACTGTGTATTTGCAGTTTGAGCTTTAATAGCATGAATCACTGGGGAAAGAAGCTAGGTTTAGGTTTGAAAAAACAACAAATTACTAGGTATACATTTTAGCACATAGAAAATGTTACATAGTCATATGTTAAAAGGTAAAAAGAGCTGGACAGTGGTGGTACATGCCTTTAATCCCAGCACTCAAGTGGAAGAGACAGGTGGATTTGTGAGTTTGAAGCCAGCCTGGTCTACAGAGCAAGCTCTAGGACAGCCAGGGATACAAAGAGAAACTCTTTCCTGAAAAAAAAACCAAACACACTAGACACACATGAAACTACCAGTTACCACAAGGAACTGCCAACCAAGCCAGGAGTAACAAGCAGTTAGCACTTGTGATTCCAGCTGCTTGGGAGGCTGAAGAGGAAAGATCATATGAACACAGAACCAGGAGACCAGCCTGGACAGTGCAAGACTCCACCTTCACACTCAACGACTTGAAAATAAACATGAAGCTGTGGGGCTGGAGAGATGGCTCTGAGTGAGGTTAAGAGCACTGGCTGCCCTTCCAAAGATCCTGAGTTCAATCCCCAGCATCCACGTGGTGGCTCCCAACCATCTGTACTGATATCTGGTGCCCTCTTCTGGTGTGCAGGTGTACATGCAGGCAGAACACTATACATAATAAATATTTTTTTATTTTAATGAAGATGCTACTCCCACATAATTTAGGTGCAGAAGGAATTATCAGTGAAGGGGATCCAAGAGCTGAGCATCTACCCTACAGCCACCCCAAAGATCAACAGCTTTTGTTTTTTCTTTTTTTTCTTTTTTCTTTTTGAGATAAATTCCTGGCTGCCCAGATTTGCTATGGAGACCAGGCTGGCCTCAAATTCTGAGATTCTCTTGCCTCTGCCTCCCAAAAGCTGGGATTAAAGGTGCTAAGTACCAATTGTTAGTCAAAATCAGTGACTAAAATGAAGAACTAACTGTAACTAACTGCATGGGCTGGGGATATAACTTAGCAGTACAGCATATATCAGGTCTTAAATTCTCATTAACACACAGGGAAAGAGGATTCACAGAACTAAAAATCATCCAGGCTAGGACTATAGATGGAATGCCGCCTACCTCAGTTCAATCCCAAGAACTGAAAAAAAAAAAAAAAAAAAAAAAAAAAAAAAAAGGGCCCCCCCCCCCAAAAAAATCCCAAAAAAAAAAAAAAAAAAAAAAAAAAAAAAAAAAGCAGTAGGTCCAGCCCCACTCTAGAACATTTCCTATAAATGACCCTAAGCTTTAAAAACAACTGTCCTGAACAGTCTAGTTTTATCCTGGCATTATAGGCATAAGGTTCTTGTGTAATCCAAATGCTGATTTCTGTATCCCCCATACCTGGCTACAATACTTGTTTTGAGACTCTCTTGTCTCACTGGTGTGTAAACACAGATCCCTAATTGTCCAGATATGCCAATAAAGCAGCTTACAGCCAATCGCTGAGCAGGGGAGAGAATTGGGCTGGACTTCCTGCCAGCCATGGGAGGAGGAGTTAAACGAGGAATTAGAGGATTGAGCCACTGGGCAGATGTCCAAACGGGACCAGGAGATAAAGCTCAGCAAGGAAAACTACAAAGTGTAAGTATCTCTGGGATGTACACTGACAGGAAGCCAACTTATCTTAGAGAGTTAAGAATAGAGTAATTAATGCTCAGTGCTTGTACTGTGAAGTGTATTAAAATAACAGACACTGAGCAGGCATGGATCAATGCTGAAAAAAAAAAAAAACAAAAAACCAAAACAATGCTCAATTATTTGTGTGATAGCCAGGTTAAGAGAAATTGAGAAACAAACACAATTATATAAAAACAACTTTAACATGCCATGTTGGCATATACCTTTAATTCCAGCACTGGGAGGCAGAGGCAGGTGGATCTCTGAGAGCTGGAGGCCAGCCTAGTCTACTCCATGAGCTCCAGCACAGCCAGAGCTACATAGTGAGACCCCATCTCAAAACAAAAAGCTAGCCTAAAGCCTGCAGGTGTGCATATCTGTAATTCTAGCATTTGAAGGCTGAGATAGGATGGAGACCTTTGAGACAACATGTTAAGGAGAAGAACAAACAAGAAGCTGAGAACACTGAGTAACTAAAAAGAAAATTTAGCAGTAACTTTCTTTCTTGCATCTGTAGTTTATATGTATCTGAATTTTTAACTGATGGTTTAATTTGCCAGAATGAGAAAGAACATTACATTTTTATGACTGGGTCCCATGGGAATACAAAATAAACAGACCCAAATGCCACATTATTGAAGACTTTTTGATCGCTGTTTACAATTATTCTCAGTAACTTTACACTTTTCAAAACCAATCTCTCTTTTGCAGTGTTATTTCTGCCTCTGTGGCTCTGGTATTTCATAGATTTGGCTGTAAATCTCACTAACTCTTGTATTTTAGCTTCGATGTTGTGGGTGGAAAGGCTAGCACTTTTCAAATCTTGTCTGTGAAAGTACACACATCTTTCTTAATCTTATTAACTTGAATACAAACAGAAATAAGAACTCCAAATGAAGCACAGAGGCAAAGTCACTTGAATTCACCTTCCGAAGGTGAATGAGAAAAAAAATTTGGCACATTGACATGTGTACATGCATGTAGAGGCTCTAGACAGCCTTGAGCTACATAAGACCCTGTTCCCTCCTTCACCCCTCAAGATAAAGAAATTTTTTTTTTTGGGCTGGAGAGATGGCTCAGAGGTCAAGAGCACCTTCCAGGCAGGGGTCCTGAGTTCAATTCCCAGCAACCACACGATTGCTCACAAGCATCTATAGTGAGATCTGGTGCCCTCTTCTGGCATGAAGCCATACATGTGGGCAGAACACTGTGTATGTAATAAATAAATAAATCTTTAAAAAAAAAAAAGTTTTTTAAAGATAGGGAAGCCTGGCATGGTGGTGCACGCCTTTACTCCCAGCACTCAGGGGGCAGATCTCTGTGAGTTCGAGGCCAGCCTGGTTTGCAGAGAGAAAGTTCCTAAATAGCCAGAGATACAGAGAAACCCTGTCTAAAAAAACAAAAACAAGTCAACTAATCTGGGCCTAGTGGGGCTTACAGAGACTGAAGCAGCAACCAAGGACCGTGTATGGACTGGTGGTCCCAGGCCCCCTACACAGATGTAGCCAATGAGCTGCTAAGTCTTCAAGTGGGTTCCCTAGTAAGGGAAACAAACAGGGGCTGTCTCTGACAGGGACCCTGATGGGGCTGCCTTGCCTGGCCACAGTGGAAGAGGAAGTACTTATTCCTGACATGACTTGATGTGCTGGGGTGGGTTGGGAGGGGCTCCCCTTTTCTGAAGAGTAGAGGAAGAGGGATGAGAGAAGAGAGAGAGGGAGGGGGACTGGAAGGAGAGGAGGGAAAGGGCTACAATTAGGATGCATAATGAATAAATAAAACAAAAAGAAGCTAGTTAAAAAGTTAAATGGCTGATACGGTTCATGCCTTACTCTCAGCATGCTGAGGCAGAAACAGGTGGGTCTCTGTGAGTGTCGGGACAAACCAATGTATATAGTGAGTTCCAGGCCAGTAAGAACTACATAAAAAGGAAAACACAAAAAGAAAAGAGAGGGCTAGAGAGATGGTTAAAAACATTTGCTATTCCTACAGGAACTAGGTTTGGTTCCTAGCACCCCTGTCCAGTAGCTCACAATAGCTTATAACTCACGCTCCAAGATATCTGGTAACTTCTGGCTTCCAAGGGCACCCACACACATGTGGCACTTATACACAGAACACAAATAAAACTAATAAAAACAAAAATTTTATGAAGAAAAAGCAGGGAAGTATAAATATGCATTGTGTGTGGGCTGTTGAAGAGATGAATTAAGATTTTTCTTTCACTCTCTTTCCTCACTGCCGTCCAAACTGAGGAAGACCAGGAAACTCCGGGACCCCGTAAGCCACATTGTTAAGCACCACAAGTACCCAGGAGGCCTCAGGAATGCTGGAGGCGTACATCACCACAGGATCAACTTCCACAAATACCGTCCAGGTCACTTTGGGAGCGTTGGTACGAGGCATTATCACTTAAAGAGGAACCAGAGCTTCTGCCCAACTGTCAGCCTGGATGAATTGGGGACACTGGTCAGTGAGCAGACACGGGTCAGTGCTGCAGAAAACAAGACTGGATGTTGTGCCATCAGGCTGCTATAAAGTTCTGGGGAAGGGCAAGCTCCCTAAGCAGCCTGTCATCGCAAAGCCCAAATTCTTCAGCAGAAGAGCTGAAGAGAGGATTAAGGGTGTTGCAGGTGGCTGTGTCCCGGTGGCTTAAAGACCCCCAGGGAGGTTAATTAAACGCTAACATTAAAAAAAAAATTTTTTTGGGGGGGGGGGGGCTGGAGAGATGGCTCAGTGGTTAAGAGTGCTGTCTGCTCTTCCAAGGGACCTGGGTTCAACTCCCAGCATCCACATGGCAGCTCACAACTGTCCGTAAGCAGTTCCGGGTGGCCTGACACCCTCACGAAAATGCACATAAAATTTTTCTTTCTTTTTTATAAAATGCAAAGTTTTGTCTTGTTTTGACATGTCTCTTTGTGTATACACACACAGCTGTACACAGGTGCCTGCAAAGACCAGATGAGGACATTGGATCCCCTGGAGCTGGAGTTACAAATGATTGTGAATACCCAATTAGAATGCCAGAAATTGAATTCCTGTTCCCCAGAGGAGCAGCAAGCAAGCACTCTTAACTGCTGCACCTCATAAATCAAGACTCAAGAGTCAAGATTTTTCAAGTCAAGTAATTATATGGATCAAAAGATTACAGTCAAAGAGAGCATGAAGCCTATTGGCTTGAAGGCAAAACCAGGAGATAATATTGCACATTTTTAAGAACAACTAAAAGGCCCGGCTATAGGTCTAAATAACCACTGCACAGAATGAGAAGAGAAGCAACAATTTTAACTTTCTTTCTAGTAATTTATTTACTTATTTTTAAAGATTTCTTTAATATTTATGCAGTATTCTGCCTGAGTGTATGCCTACATGCCAGAGGAGGGCACCATTATTATAGATGGTTGTGAGCCACCCTGTGGGTGCTGGGAATTGAACTCAGGACTTCTGGAAGAGCAGCCAGTGCTCTCAACCTGAGCCATCTCTCCAGCCCCAGAATTATTTATTTTTATCTTATGTGTATTGGTGTTTTGCCTATACATCTGTCTGTGTGTGAGGTTGTCAGATCCTGGAGTTACAGACAATTGTGCACTGCCATGTGGCTGCTGAATGGGAACTGAACTGGGTCATCTTCAAGAGCAGAACTTGAACCTGATGCTTCTGAAGACACAGTATATTGCAGGTTGGTCTGAGACATGTTACAGGCTCTCAAGATCTGGCTACACCTATCCTTGCTTTGTAAACCTGCCTAAGACATATCTGATTGGTTGTTTAAACGGCCTATACCTGCACAGGGCAGAATGGAGTAGGTGTGGCTTAGGTTCCAGGGCTTCAGGTTCAGGAGAATCACAGAAGAGAGGATGAAGGAGACAGTCACAGTTAGGTAGAAAGTAAACAAAACAAAAAAACGCGTTGGCTGGGTGGAAGGACTCCAATAATGGCATGAAAAGGCCCAGATGAAGAATAGAAGCAAGTACCATGGGATTATGTATGGAAAGTAGACCAGATGAGGATTAAGGAGGAAGGCATTGGATGGGGGTGGGAGATGGATGGTGAGGATATTAAGCCAGTGTAGGTGAAATATCTGCCCGGCCCAAGGTAAGTATGTCAATTATAAAATCTAACAGGTGTCTGTGTCTTACTATTTGTAATAGTAGAGTAAAATACCGCTGTGATAGCCTTATGGTTAATAATAAACATTATATAGTCCAACACACAAATATTTTTAATAATTACTACAACAACAGTATGAACTTTTTGTTTATTTTTGTTTTTTTGAGACAGGATTTGTTTGTGGAAAAGAGCCCTGGCTGTCCTGGACTTGCTTTGTAGACCAGGCTAGCCTTAAATTCAGATTTCCCTGCATCTGCCTCCCGGAGTGCTGGGATTACAAGTGCATGAACTTTTACCCACAAGCCATCTCTTCAGCCCTTGCCTTTTAACATTTGCTATGCCAGGGACCCTTTTCTCAGAATCTCTATTTCTTTATCATTTATTTGTGGTACTGAAAATTGAGCCTAAAGCATGCTTGTCAAGTTGCTCTACTGCCAAGCAAAAAGAAACAGGGTCAGATGTATCCCAGGCTGTTCTGACAGTCTGAGATGACACTGATTCCTAATCCCCCTGTCTCTACTTACTAATGGGATTACGGATGTTGTCTGCCACCAGGCCTAATTTATGAAACGATGAGAACTGACCCAGGGCTTCCTGTGGGCTAGGAAAGCTCTACTGAGCTGCATTCTAAGCCCTAGTACATAAAATTCTAAAAATTACAAAATTATACATTAAAAATTAATTTCTAAAGGTTCTAGAAGGTCTGAAAATTAAGAACTCCCTGAGTACACAGGGAGCTTTCTAGGGTAGTGGAAATGTTTCATATCTTGATTGGAGATAGAGTCACACAGGTAAAACTCTTCTGGTCAAAACCCAACTCTTTTAGCCAGGTGTGATGGTATATGCCTATAATCCTAGCACTGAAGAGGCTGAGGCCAGAGATTTAAGTTCAAGGTCAGGCTTGGTCAAGATATTGAATTAATGAGTTTGAGGGCAATTTGCTCTATACAATGTAGCCTGACCCCCACCCTCCCAAAAAAAAAAAAAAAAGGCAGCAAGGTAGGTAGCAAAAATAAACCAATGGACTGTTCCCCTCTTCCTTTCCTAGAAAAAACTAAAAGATCATTTCACAGTAGGCTTGCTAAAAGCTTTGAGGATAGGTGGCATTCTCATTTAAATGTACAGGTCAGTTTCAGCCAAACTTTCATCCAGAGACACAAGGGCTCACAAATACCAAGCACTTTTATTTTGACATTATTTACTAGGGTCATTTTAAGCTGGTCCTACAGCTGGAGGAAAAGCCAACCTGCCACTTAATCCATCCAGAACAAATCAAGAACCAAGGAAGACCATGTCAAGAGTCCTTTGGTTGGGAAAAGAGGGAAGGGGTGGCAGGGTGAGCCACCACTACTCATTTGCATGAGAGATAATCATATGAAGAATGTCAAATTAATAAACTCTTCCACTGACTTACCATATTGGACACTCTAAGATTTTCTGCATAGCATGAAGGATATTCTGGACTTCTTGAATTCGAACATCAGATAAATCCATTTCTTCCCGGTTCTAGTGAACTTTAACACAAATTTAAAAATGCATGTAATTAAACTATTTGAAAAGGTTTTTAAATACACATGTCTAGATCCAGGTCAGAACCTCTGGCACGCACATACATATAATTAAGATGATTTTTAAAAAAATCTTTTAAAAATAAAATTTGCAAGGCAGTGGTGGCACACACTTTTAATCCTAGGCAGAGGCTGGCAGATCTGAGTTTGAGGCCAGTGAGTCCAAGACAGCCAAGGCTACACAGAGAAACCCTCTTGAATAGACAAAATAAAAAAGGTGAGCAGTCTTTCTGGGCTAGTTAGAGAGCCCAAAATCGGTCAAGCATAGTGATGTAAACCAGTACTTTCAGGATTCTGGAACTACAGTGGAGTTCAAGGTCACCTGTTGGTTTAATGTTCTTTTGAAATGTATACACCTTACCCTTGTTCATTCAAATGCTGATTTCTCCCCCAAACACACACACTCTCTGGTTTCAATCTGGATATTGCATTGTGATACTTACTCTAAGCATCCTGTCTCAACTGTGTAAACAGGCCAAAATAAAACAACTAACCAAATGTTGTGCAAAGGTAGAGCCAGAGGACAGGAAAGAGGGGAGGAGCCAGAGGGCAGGAAATGAGTGGGAGGAGAAGGGCGATAGGAGAGCTAGGAGAGCTGGAGGAGAGATCTTGAAACAGCCTGGAGAATGAACCAGACCTAAGATTTCACTAAAAGCAAGTATAATGTGGGTAAAATCTAAATGTTAGGAAACTATGAGGGCTTGGAGGTTTAAGAGGGAGTAACTATTGCCCAGCATTGTGTTCTAGGTTAACTAAATAAACCAGTCTCTGTGTGGTGATTTGGTTATACAGCTGTTTAGGATTAACAGCAAGCATTATTAAAAGATAAACTCATAGTAAATATTGATTACCACTTACAACAGTCACCTTGAACTACATAAGGTTTCAAAGCCAATCTGATTACAGAAGACCCTGTCTCAAAAACTCTAAAACTAGCTGGGCATGGTATTGGGAGACTTTTAACCCCTTCTCCCAGGAGGCAAGGGCAGAAGGATGATTTCAAGGGCCAGTCAGTCTCCATACAGAGTTCCAAGCCAGGCAGAGCTACATAATGAGGCTGTCTTAAAAACTAACCAACCGCCCAGCACTCGAACGGCAGAGGCAGGCCTAACTCTGTCAGTTCGAGGCCAGCCTGGTCTACAAAGCTCGTTCCAGGACAGCTAAAGCTACGGAGAGAAACCCTATCTCAAAAAAAACAAAACAAAACAAAAAAACAACAACAACAAACAAAAAAATCTAAAACCAAAATAAGCGAAAAGAAACACATTAAAAAAAAAAAAAGTCACCAAAAGGAACACTAAAAACTGCTGGGGCCTCTCCACCCCGCACTGTTTAAATACGTCTCCTCTGCCAACAGCATTCGCTCCTAATGCCATTCTTCTATTTACGTCCCTTCTAGCACCTTCTGTGAAACATACATGGATCTAGTTCCCAAGTTTCCTTCCACAAACCCCGGGTCTTTTCCTCTTCCCTGCCACACTTCTGCCCGCCTATCCTCACTCATCCTTTAGCCGGAAGCCTACCGCCTTCAAGGCTCGGTTACAGCCAGGATCCCGCTCACGCATGCCTTGCCCTCTTCCTTCACAGCTGCCCCCGGGAATGCACCAACTACACCCTACACCCCCCCCCCCAGAAGTCCTCTCAAGTTCACAACGCCGTGAACCCTCTGGTGCCGTCCCGGGCATTCTCCTACTGCCTAAACACCCGCTCCACCTGCGGCTCCCGCCTTTCACAAGAGCATCGCTAGGTACTCTCTGGGTTCTTCATGGCTGGCTCACCTTTACTCCGAGAAGGGAAAGCCCGTGCTTCCGAGCCCCAAGGCCTAAATCCCGGAGAAGACCCTGGAACGGCGTGAGTTCCACCGGCGGCCGCCGCGCAGCCGCAATTGCAAGTTATCTGAAATTCCCGCGCTCTCCGTCGCCAAGGAAACCGGCCGCTTGGCGCCTAGTGTCAGCCTCTAGGAACACGAGATCCAGACACGTCAGCGGAAAAGGGGGCGGGGAGAGAGTAGGAAAAAAAAAAAAAGGCCGAGACTCTTTCCGAGCTCAGGATTGGCCACCTAAGTCTTCCCCTGTATGTCGTCACTAAAAAGAGACGGAAGAGAAAGAACTCTGAGTTTTCTATTAGGCACCCGCCTCCTCGCATTTACGCTTGCTTATTACGTCACAGTAATTCTGTACAAAGGGTCGGAATCGCTACCGGAGGCCGGAATATGAGCGCAAGGTAGTGGCCAAAGCAGTTGCAAGACGAGGCCTCATACCTCCCTCAGCCTTCCTACCATGGAAGTCTCCAGTTTAGGTAAACAGAGACTTGTGTGAAAAAAAAGAACTACCAATTCCAGCATGCATTGCGGAAAGAAAGGCCTCCTCCACAGCGGCCCTTAGAAACTGTAGTCGTGAGGGACGGGAGCTCCCGACACCCGAAGCAGGCGCAGTTAGCACGGTAACCGAGTCGATACAGCGGAGACCTCGCGGTTATGCAAGACAGCTGCTGTGCACCGCAGCGTTCTGTTCTCATGTCTTGCGCACAGAGCCTAGGCTAAAGCTGCAAGTTCCGGAAAGACTACAATTCCCATCCAGCCCCGCGATTCTCGGGTAACTAGTCCTCCAAGATAGCGACCTGAGGGAAAGCAGAGGGCGGCCAATCGGCTTGAGAAAGAAAAATCGACTCCGCTGACATTTGCGCACTGGTTCCGCCCCTCGGCCCGGGTGTTTGTTATTGTTGTGCGGTTCAGAGAGCTTCTGTCCCGCCCTTGCCGACGCAGCGTTGACCAATCGGTGGAGCGGTGGTTTTGAGGGACAAATAGGAAGAGCCAATCACTTTGCCGAAAACTCAGAGAAACATGGGACTGGGCCCGGTCTCGGTCCGCCATGTTAGATTCTCCCCGCAGGGATAGCCGCCGAGCTGGCAGCGAACGGTCCTTGCGCTGGCCGCGGGTAAGCGCCCCCCGTGGGCGGAAAGCTGGTAAGGAAACAACTGCTGTTACCTAGGAGTAGGGTCATGCCGTCCTCAGAGGGCTGGGCGAAGTTCAAGGGAGTAATCTTGCAAAGAGGAGTGACTTTTTTTTCATGTTCAGGGGCAGCCAGTCTTTTCGGAGTCCAGATGAGAGAGTCGCTGGGGTTGTCATCGACAGTACCCAGGGGGCCGGATACGGCCCGAGGGAGAGTTCATCGCTTAGAAAGGCCGTTTCTGCTAAGAGAAGGTCGAAATCCCCAGTACCAAAAGAGTGCCTCCGGCGGCGGTGACACTCACTGTCCTGGGGACATGGAGTTCCAGGGAACCATTACTGGAAGACTGGGATTTAAGTCTGCGAGAAGAAAGGACACGCATCTTTCTTCTTCTAACCCTTTCCTCTCTTTGAGACTACTGACGATATCTTGATCTAGGACCTTCCGCGTTAGAGAGGCATCGTTTTCCCTTGATGTCAAACACCCAGCTTTCAGATCACCCATTTTAGAGCTTGTGCTGGCCTCTGGTAGAGACAGTAAAGTTAAGATTCCCACGTTGGCTTTACTGAGATTATTTGTCGAGGTTGAAAAAAATTCACATGGGGAAAAGCTGACCTTTGCCACATGAATGTGAGTCAGTAAGGCTTAGGGAAGCTGCAGGCTTAAGTACATCTACCTGACTGCTGGCTGGAAACGTACGGGTAGAAAGTATAGATGGGGTTAACTGTACCTTTGGTCTTTTCACAAATTCAAGATTAATGCTCTGACTGAAAGAATTTTCACACGTAAGCGAGGTACGTCCCTTATGAAGACCTGAATATTGGCCAGCTAAGCTAGACTCTCCTCTACTTCCTGTTTTCTCCCATTGGCAAGAGCAGCTGGATGAACTCCAGCATACGGGAACTAATTCCCACTTGTGTAATTTGAGACTGAGGAAGATTACTTTCCTTCCAAACACAAAAATGTGAAAGCTTTACTTCTTTTTTTTTTTTTTCCTTTCACTTTTTTTATTTTTTAAGATTTATTTATTATTTATAGTTTTCTTCCTGCATGTACACCCGCCGGCCAGGAGAGGGCACCAGATCTCATTATAGATGCTTGTGAGCCACCTTATGGTTGCTGGGAATTGAACTCAGGACCTTCGGAAGAGCAGCCAGTGCTCTTAGCCTCAGAGCTGTCTCTCCAGCCCGGAAGTTGATTTCCTGAAGTTGGAAAGTGCGAGTGTTTTTCAGATTTTGTACCTTTGGCAAGCTCAGTCACTTCATTTTCCTGAATTTTTTTTTAAGTCTAGCATACGG